TGAGATTAGCTTAGTAATATTAAATAGAGTGGAGGTGCGTTTAGGGTCTTAGTCTTAGGACTGACGACCTTATGATTATGATTAGAATATGTAATTATTTTAACAATCAGCGCATATAAAAAATTAAATAAATACATTTATTATATCGGAATATTTAAATTTTAGTATGTTTTTTAATATAATAAAACGGTATTTGCTGATATAAACATGATTTTAAAAAATTCGGTTATTTCTATATTACAAGGATTCAAATGGATTCATATGTATGTATATATAGGAACCTATTGGAATTTATTCATTTAATTAAATTAATGCTTCAGTTGTTTAGATTTTCAACTGGATACGATATGACTTAGTTGGGAATGTTTTAATGATGGATATCTAGCACGTTGAAAATCATCCTCCCTTTGACTTATTTTTTTTCTAATTTGTCTCCTATTTCTCGAATTTCAGTGAGTATTATGTACAATATGTATCTTACTCTTGGGAAACTTACGTTGTCCTAAATTGTTGCTAAGTATGTCGTTGCTTCTCGCTCATTATTTTGTACCTTTTCCTCTTAATGTTTCACTTTTCTGAGGCCTCCACTTCGGCTCGTATTACTACTACCCCTTTAGTCTACTTGGTTTTCTTATTGTTGCAGTCTCGTTATGAGATTCAGTTGATTTCTATTGAAAAAGGAATGCCATTCACGTAGCTTTCTTTTATATATATTATTAGGAACAGTCAGTTGTAATAATATTTTGACCCATATTTGCAACAGCTTTAAGGAAGGGTGATCACATTTTTAAAGGGAAGATGTAAACGTATACGTAACGTTTCATAGAAATGAAATATACTTTTCAATAGTTCAATATTTTCTAATTTAAATTTATCGAAAATTATTATAGAAGAAGAAAATGACAACTTTATGTATTATAAATAAACCAAACGGTTCGATGGTGTTTGTTATTGGATAAAAAGGAATTTCGCGTGTTGATAAAATATTGCTTTTTGAAGGGAAAAAATACAGTTGAAGCAAAAAATTGGCTTGATAACGAATTTCCGGACACTGCCCCAGGAAAATCAACCATCAAGGATTGGTATGCTAAGTTTAGACGTGGTGAAATGAGCACCGAAGACGGTGAACGCAGTGGACGCCCAAAAGAGGCTGTTACGGACGAAAACATTAAAAAAATCCACAAAATGATTTTGAATGACCGTAAATTGAAATTGAATGAAATAGCAGACACTCTACAGATATCAACGGAACGTATACATCACATCATTCACGAATATTTGGGTATGAGAAAGCTCTGTGCAAAGTGGGTGCCGCGCGAGCTCACTTTTGACCAAAAACAACGACGAGTTGATGATTCAGAGCAGTGTTTGAAGATGATCACGCGTAATAAACCCGAGTTTTTGCGTCGATATGTGACAATGGATGAAACATGGCTCCATCATTTCACTCCGAAGTCCAATCGACAGTCATCGGAGTGGACTGCACACGATGAACCCGCTCCAAAGCGTGCAAAAACGCAACAGTCGGCTGGCAAGGTTATGGCGTCTGTATTTTGGGATGCGCGTGGAATAATTTTCATTGACTACCTTGAAAAAGGAAGGACCATCAACAGCGACTATTACATAGCGTTATTGGACCGTTTGAAGGACGAAATCGCCGAGAAACGACCGCATTTGCAGAAAAAGAAAGTCCTGCTTCACCAAGACAATGCACCGTCTCACAAGTCAGTGAAAACGATGGCAAAAATTCATGAATTGGGCTTCGAATTGCTTCCGCATCCACCGTATTCTCCAGATCTGGCCCCCAGCGACTACTTCCTGTTCTCAGATCTCAAAAGAATGCTCGTTGGGAAAAAATTTTCGTCGAATGAAGAGGTGATCGCCGAAACTGAGGCCTATTTTGAAGCAAAGGACAAATCGTACTACAAAAATGGTATCGAAAAGTTGGAGGATCGCTATAATCAGTGTATCACCCTTGAAGAGAATTATGTTGAATAAAAAAAACGAATTTTGCAAAAAAAATGTGTTTTACTATTTTAGGCCGGGTACTTTTCAATTGACCGTTATTTAAAAGAACATGATGATTTTCCATTCATTTCTTATTATTTAATTATCATTTAGAAAACTTACTATTTCACTAAATTTCCCTACTATTGAAATTGCTTGAAATGAATTCATTCAACTAGCAGTCACAGCGACAGAACAAAAATTCTGAGAAAAATAGAAAATTAAACAATTACTGTTGTTATGAAGTACCTACATGTTAGTGTAATGGTATGGTAACAGATAAATTGCTATTTTAAGAGTGATGGATTACCTACCTGTACTTAAAAAAATAACGTTTTTCGTGAATTAAGTTTATTTTTGAAAAGGCCGATGCAGGTAGTTATTATATGCAAGATAACGATATAAATAGAAAGAAAAACACTAGATCTCTTTGACAAACACTTAAGGACGTTATTTTAGAACATGATTTCCGAGAGAGCTGCTATCAAATTTTAACAATTTTGCTTTATTCTACCTATCAGCTTAACTTAACGTTAATGATGAATTACACTACTTTATTTTATTTCCTACGAGACGTTTGTGATGTATTATTAACTATATTATTTACTTCCATCTGTCATACCCTGAATCTATCAACTATTACGTTAAATGTCTAGATACACGGAAAAAACAATAATAAATTACGTTAATAACGATATCAGTCAATGTTTTTTATAACAACCTGTTTGAATATTGTAAATAAAAGTTTCCTTTTCCAAATAAAATATGATGGATCTGTTTATCTTAAACGTCTATTTAGAGTACAGTAATTATAGATACAAACAGAAGATTTGCTAAAAAAACCTTTTCTTCTGTCCGACAAACTGAAAATGTCAAAACTTCTTAGTAATATTTTATGATTAGAACACATCGAATAAAAGTTACAGATGATAAAAGAATACATTTTAGAAGCAAACATTATACTATTTTCCGTTTCTTACCCTAACGTGTGTATGTTACCACACTTAATGACCTTGATTCTTTTTCTAATATTGTACGTTCCCTAGACAAAAATTTTCAGTCTCTCTTCAGTCTCTCAGAGTCTTTCACAGTCTCTCAGTTATTGCCTAGGTGTTTTTATGGATTTCTCACAGTCTTTGTATGAGAGACTCGAACGATAAAATTGTTAATTCAGAGATTCCAGTCTCTCGCCCAGAGAGACTGAACGAATAAAACTCAAAAATTTGGAGACTCGAGTCTCTCGTTCAGACTGGATACGAAATGATAATCTGTCAATGAGCGACTCGAGTCTCTCGTTCAGAGACGCTAAACAGTTTTTTTGAGTCTCTCGACAGTCTCTTTCAGCGATGATGAGAGACAGAGACTCGAGTCTCGCTTTCAAAGACTCTGAGAGACTGAAAATTTTTATCTCGGGTTATACTGTCAGATAAAACTTTTTTGCCAAATTGCCAGACCAACAAGAATAGAAAAAAATGAATCTTATCTAACTTATATATATATATTGTTTTTGCCATAAAATTATGTATAATAAGCTTAAGTACCTACTTATAATACAATAAACTGCAAAAATTTCGAAGAATTTTGATAAACAGTTATGAACATTATGTAATATTTTCTGTTTACGTTACAGTGAAGTTTCCATTGGAAAATGAGAAAAATTGTTATTTCTTAAAAACTTTTACTTGATAATTTGTTCTCGTTCGAAATTGGGTGTTAAATACCATAAAATGTTTTACATACATTATATGTATTATCTATTTATATTATCAATATTTTCATGTGCGTTGTATCTTTAGCTAAACTTTTAAATATTACGAAACTATTTTCTAGAAATTTGCATATTAAACAATGAAAGAAAACTATACAAGGTGACCACTTTAACTGCTCCTACCCTAGACAAAAATTATCAGTCTCTCCCCAGTCTCTCAGAGCCTTTCACAGTCTCTCAGTTATTGCCTAGGTGTTTTATGGATCTCTCATAGTCTCTGTATGAGAGACTCGAACGATAAAATTGTTAATTCAGAGATTCGAGTCTCTCACAGAGACTGAATGAATGAAACTTAAAAATTGAGAAACTCGAGTCTCTCGTAGAAAGATTGGGGTCTCTAAAATATGTTGAACTTATTGAGAGATTCGAGTCTCTCGTTCAAAGACTGGATACGAAATGAGGATCTTCCTATGGGCGACTCGAGTCTCTCATTCAGAGACGCTAAACAGTTTTTTTGACAATCTCTCGACAGTCTGTCTCAGCGACACTAGAGACTCGATGAGAGACGGAGACTCGAGAGACTGAACATTTTTATCTCGGATAGCATTGCTATCTTGGAAGAGGTATGAGCTACATCGATTAAATTATACAAAATGGGTAGTTTTTTGCATTAATTTTAGTTGTAATTCGTTTACAGTATTGATAAATGTTCATTTTCATGCTATAAATATTGTATGGACAGATATAGACCCTTTCAGTTACTAGACTAGATTAATGGGCTAGACAAAGAGCAATAGGTATACGCCCTGGAATAAATTTTTGCCTGAATTATTCGTTGTACGTAAAAACTTGAAGAGATCATATTTTTGTAAAATTAGATTATCACCCATTTTTGAAGTGAAACTTCTTTACGCACGGTAGGGTTAGTTCGTTTCATGCGAGTTGCTATGTAACGAAATCATGCAACGGATGTCCCCCCTCTACTCGGCCACGTAGTCGAGTTCATAGTGGGGATCGCTTGAGCCGTGAGCGCGCTTCAATGCAACGTTCGTTACAGGCAACTCCGGCATGTATAGTGTAAAATTTAAATTCATAGTGTACAAATAATACCNAAAAATGTACAAAAACAATTTTCCTTAGAACATCTCAATCAAACCCTTTTATTATAAATATCCACACCCTGTTAATATATCCTTATTAGATTAAAATATGAGGTTGACTGAGCATAACTGTTCCTATTGACGCTGCATGAAAGCAATCATTCCCATTTAAAAGGATGAGAAAAATGAGCAGAAAAGAGGAGAATATCATGCAAGAATATTGGACGAAGAGAAAATTGAATATAGGGAGACAAAATAGCTATGGGAGGTAAAGATAATAGGCAATAAATTCTGCTGAAGAGAACCTTGTTTGGTCCTAGAACGGCCTGAGATAGAAAGGTTTTGATCGGCAGGTACGAGAACTTCATTCTCGGGAATCCAATACTACCTAGTCATACGGACGGCTGGGGGTATTTTGAAGATTTCCCCTCTCTCTCTCTCTCCACGTAGTTTAGGCAGTACCACCGACACCAGCAGCCTTCTACGAACCATCTGGTCTGGTTACCTTCCAACCCACATCCAGCCGATCCTCGCAGCAATGGAAGACAAGGACCTGGATGACGTTGCAGAAGTTTCCGACAGCATCATTGACTCGGTCCACAGACATACCATAGCCAGTGCAACCCCCAATAATGGTCTCACAATACAAAACCTGGTAGAGATGGTCAACTTCCTCACAATGGACCTCAACGGTCAGTGTTATTATTACCGGAGATTTAAAGGCAGATATCAAGTACGCCTCTCCATGTTCAGTACGGTCGGAAAACCACAACACAGATCACTAGCGGCGACGAGTGATATCCACCCTATACAACGGCCCCTTTCCGTTACGACAGAGTTACACGTTTGCAATTTCTGGTCGACACAGGTGCTGATATCTACGTATATACCAAGTCGCTAATACCTGGACTACGTCAGAAATCATCATTCGCGCTACAAGCATCAATCCGACCTACTGCTACATCAACTAGTCCCTCAACTTAGACTTACATAGAAATTTCGCATGGTGCATTGCGGATGTCAACAAACCAATAATTGCGGCGGATTTCTTAGCCCACTGTCAATTGTTAGTAGATTTAAGAAACTACTGACTCCTGGATCAGCTCACCCAGCTCACCACTAATCCCGAAGCAATTCCTATCAATGATCAATAAGCTGCAACGGTAACACGTGCTTTTTTCAAAGGATGGATTTGTAGATTTGGTGCACGGATTCCTACAGATCAAGGAAAACAATTCGAATCTCAAATTTTTAACGAACTGTCGCATCTAACCAACACCAAGCACATCCATACTACGGCATACCACCTTGCAGCAAATGAAATGGTTGAACGATTTCATCGCCCATTAAAGGCTGCAATAACATGTAGCCAAAACAACAGCTGGACCCAGATTCTTCCCACCCTACTATTAGGCATCCGAACAGAAGGAGGATTTGAAAGCAACAACCGCTGACATGGTATATGGAAAGTCACTACGTCTACCTGGAGAATTCCTATCTCCACCAAGCTCACAGACCAATACCTCAACCTTCACTATAACTCATCAACCTTCATACAACAGCTTCGCCAACACTTCCAACTACTACAGCCTGTATCCAGAACACGACATGTGGAAAAGAAGACATTCATCTACAAAGACCTCCAAACAGCAGAATACGTCCTAATTTGACACGATGTCCCTAAAAACCAGCTACAATTCTCTTACGACGGACTTTTCAAAGTTTTCAGCAGGAACGACCACACATTCACCGTTCAATTGCCCAACAAGGAGAAAACTGTATCTATTCACCGACTTAAACTAGTACACATCATGTGTACAAACGACTCAGCATTCTAGAGTCGCTGTCGATTGACCAAATTGGGTCAACCATCCAACTCGGACCAAACTTCTGGACAAACACTTTACATTTTACAATTTACAATTAAATAAATCAGTCTTACACACAGACTAGTCTTCTTCTGACAATTGGACTTGCAAATAGCCATAGTCACTTCATCATCCAGCTCCAGTCTTGTAAATAGACTGGAGTCTGCATTTTTATTTGTTAGCGTGACGCACGCTACAATATGTTATGGAATAATTAGCAGGGTGATTTAATGCCAGCATATATAGGAGGAGGAAGAAAAATAAATATTCTAACTAGATTTAGAATAGAAGAAGAATGTCAAGGATGCAAGTATTTAATGAAAGGCAAAGAAACAAACTGTACGCTGTGTGCAATAAAAGATGAACATCTAATACATGTGTTAGGTTGATGTGAGGGAGGCAGATCAATAGAAGAATGTGTTAGGTTGGTGAGAAAGAATGACTCGGTTAAAGATAATTTTAAAAAGGAGAACAGGGGGCAAGGGGGAGAAAGAGTATAATTTGGTTTTTCTGTCATAATTATAAGGTCGTCAGTCCTAAGACTGGTTGGAGACGTACCTCCACTCTTTCCTATACTGAGCTAAACTTTGCATTTCCCTAAAACTAGATAAACCCACATCTTTAACTATTTGCGAACAGTAATCTAACCTAGGTCTACCTCTACCTCTACCTCTCTTCCGTTTCTGCCTATAATATGTCCCTGAGTAGACCTTCATGCCTGAGAAGGTGTGATACTAACCTATCTCGCCTTTTTATTATTGACTTCCATAGAATCTTCTTTTCTCTTACCGTTTCTAATACCTCTTCACTTCTAACCTTCTCTATCCACGGCATCCTCATCATTCACCTGTAACACCATATTTCGAACGCTGTATAATTTAATTTTAAAGGTTTAGGTGTCGGTTTAAAATTTAAAAATGTCTTTAAATTGGTTTAAATTATAAGCTTAATGTATTTTGCTTTGTGATATTTTTTTGTAAATATGTATAGAACTTTTTTTTAATATACTACTATCATCCATTCAACAAAGGAAAATCAATACTTAATGTTAAACAGTAGGTTCAAAGGTCATCTTTAAATTACCATTATAACTGTTTTCCTATGAAGAATCACTTTTGCAACTGTTAGTTTGTGTTTAAGAATGACGATCTGACAAAACTGTACCTACATCTTCGAAATTTTAAATCCAACCTCTGTTATATGGACCTTGAGGTATCTTTACTGGGAGAAGGTAGGTAATCTGCACCGCAAACTCTCACATACACATTTTTTAAAAACAGACAATCAATCATCATTTTCCGAACATACCTTATACGGTTAAATGTCGCATCGCCCAGGAATAATTTTCGACAGAATCATTTATCCTCATTAACTCGAACTTCATAGCCAGAAGGCAACTACTTACTCGCTATTAGAACTTAGCAAACATTTTATGGCGTTCTGAGAATATCATTTTATACGATACCGTATTTACCGAATATTTGAAAATAGAAACACTTCTCTATGTTTACTAGTTATTTAATAAGCACGTAGCAGATCAGAAAATTAATAGAGATAAGAAGACACGTGCAAAATATTAAGTGATGTATATGATAAATGACAACGGTAATATCTTAAGCAAATAGTAGATGCTTTTAATGTGAGAGACTTAAAAGGGGGTTGTTTTCATAACGCAGTGCTTCCCCTAGGGAGCGGGAAGGGTTTACTCCATAGATTCCCAACGGGGGCGACTATCGCCCCCCAGTAGACATCAGAGCATTCCAAGTGGGCGGTAACGAATCGAGAGGCATATAGAGATCGTTAAAGAGTTAAAAAGGGGCACCTTAACACCCTCCGAAGCTTACCACTTATTTCAGAAACGCCCTGTACGTACGCATAGTTTCCAAGTAGTTCTGTCAACCTAAAGATTTAAAAATAAGTTCGTTCAAATGACTAAAATTGAATATTATATAGTTGAAGATTTAAGATTAATTAAACAAAATTAAAAACCAACAAAATGGGTTAACGCGCGTATGTAATTTACACAGAATGAAATATAATGCTATTTATTAATTCACCTGAACTAGGTCACTTTGGGAGGTGTGCATAAAGGAAACATTAATACTTTCACAGACCGCTGTATCTCCGAAAACCAAAACTTGGATTAGGGCAATATTCAATATACTTGAAAATCTAGATATTAGGTAAACTATACATTGGAATAAATACTTTACGAACAACTAGATTGCAATTAATTCTTCAAACACTCTTTAATATTGCATTTATTGATTTATAAAGGGTTTCTTCTTCACAATTACTACAGACGAATTGAGAACCTACCATAAGGAAATTCTATTATACTCTAACTAGTACTGATAATTTTTTTGTATTTTCTATGAATCGTTCCTTAAAAATCGAACATTCGTAACTCAAATTATCAGAAACTATAGGATAATCCGATAACAATTTCAACAACTGTTTTAGATCCCGATCCAAAATTTCATATCCATAACATCCCTTCTATCTAGTTTAACCAGACAGTTTATACGACCACTGTGACATTATCTTTTGTTTTGAGATATTTATAATATAGAGTTCTTAGCACACAGAAAGAATATTCGAAGCAGAAATATACCGATAGTGAGAACAAGCGTTTATTGCAAAAACCTGGGAATGAACTAGTACAGTCAAAATGCAACATTAATAGAAGCACCCGATGTATTCGTTCCTCGAATCTACTGTCTCACCCACATTCTCTTAATCTTTTTACAATTTTAATGATTTCGCCAGCAACAGCATCTGGTATTGCAATTAATATCTCAATTTCGGTCATTTTGCTATTGAATTTACTGTCACAACACTGTTTATTGTGTAGACATCTCACTTGTTCACAGAACTATCGAGGTTCCTGTGATAAAAATACTTTTGTGAGACTAGCATCACCGTAAAAACGAAGCTTAAAAGGCGGCATTATCTTTTGAAAAATATGACGTAGATTAAGGAGATGTTTAAATAATAAGATAATATAAATTCAATAAATCCAATTTCAAACCTTTGAAGATTTGAGACTTGGGTTGGTTCAGGACAATTTTTAGGGAAGCAGGTAATATTTTAAGATAAACGTGGTTGAAAGAGATATTCCACAGTTTACCAAATTATGCAAAGTCGTCAGTCGCATTTCTCTAAAACTAATCTAGGTCTACCTCTAGTGCTCTTAACTCCTGTTTCTGCTTGTAATATTTGCCTGACTAGACCTTCATGCCTGAGAAGGTGTTCTACCAAATCTCGCCTATTCCTTATTGACTTCCATCTCTGTTGTCTTATATTCTTTCTAATACCTCTTCATTTCTAACCTTCTCTATCCACAGTATCATCATCATTCGCCTATAACACCATATTTCGAATACTTCTAATCTTTTTTCTTCCGCCGCGCCCACCGTCCATGTTTCTCACTCGTACCCTGCATCACTTGCGTACATCTTTTTCGAATTTCAAAATTAACCGCTTGCGAGCATAAAAGTGACACTTTGCTCGCAAGTCATAAAAAGGAATATGAAATTACTGTATTCGGTAAACATTTTGGTTTGTTGCGAGCTATAGCAGTACTTAAGACACATTATATATGTATGTATATGTATCGTGACTTGACGTTCGAGAAGACACGGGTTCCATTGCGGATCTGTCTGCCCTAGTTAAATTTTTTGTGCTTTCGTTAAATGATTTAGGCAAATTCTGGGATACTAATATTCCACAGATAAATAAATAATATTTCCCTTTTCTTGTGTCTCGTCTATTTCTCCCCAACGATCGCCCATTCCTACGATTCCTAAATGGAGATTAAAGCGGACTTTCCTTCAGAAGGTAGACTTTCCATTAGAATGAGGTTTCAAAATTTCGAAAATCCCATGGACCTCTTCGAATATAATTGATAGGGAAAAAGAAGGGACGTAAGGAAAAAGAGGAGGGAATTTACAAATATCTGCTTTGAAGGATAACAGTAACTTGTATTACAATCAGTTGGTTAATAAGAAGGTTGCCACTGTTTAGGCTAGTTTAATACGACCCCTATTACCCACACTAGACTATAGTGTAGATCGGAGGGACTGCCCTCACATCAGCGGTAGTCGTTATTAGGAGGGATGAAACTTGCAAAAGTTTCACTTTAATAATTATATTTATTATCTGTTGAATCTTCAGTAATTATGCCTCCGTCACAACCAATTTGTCAGATTTTGGTGATTAAAGTTAACAAAGATAAGAGCAATTTTATCGTTTAGTGCTTTTGATGTTACTAATACATATTTTGATATGCTTTTCGAATAATAGAAAACAAATTTAAAATCAATAAGCTAAATTTTGGATTGAATTATAGAAAACGAATGTAACACGTATATGCATTTTGCAGGGTCTCAGGTATGCAGTTATAATTGGAAGTATTGGAACCACATTAGGATCATGGATAAAAGTAGCCGCTGTAGCTCCAGACAGATTTTGGGTGGCGTTCTTGGGTCAAGCGATTGTGGCCTTGTCTCAAATTTTTATTTTATCAATACCAGCTCGACTTGCAGCTGTGTGGTTCGGTCCAAGTCAAGTCTCATCAGCATGCAGTATTGGAGTTTTTGGAAATCAAGTAAGTGACATAAATCAAGTAAAAATTGATGACTATTCACGTAGAGTCCCTAGACCAAAATTTTCTGTCTCTCTCCAGTCTCTCAGAGTCTTTCAGCGTCTCTGAGAGCGCCTCTTACAGTCTTTCACAATCTCTCGGTTATTGCCTAGGTATTTTTATGGGTCTCTCGCAGTCTATGTATGAGAAACTCGAACGATAAAATTGTTAATTCAGAGATTCGAGTCTCTCGTTCAGAAATTCAACTATCCCGTTTAGAGACTGGATACGAAATGAGGATCTCTCTTTGAGCGACTCGAGTCTCTTGTTCAGAGACGCTAAACAGTTTCTTTGACAGTCTCTCTCAACGACACCAGAGAGATTCGGTGAGAGACGGAGACTCGAGTCTCATTTTCAGAAACTCTGGGAGACTGAATATTTTTATCTCGGGGTACTAAAATAAAATTTAAGGAGTTTTCACATTTGTGCAATATCAGTACAGCTAGGCATATCGCACATACAACGACTCGGCACATACAGTTATATTTGCTATATTACGTCTTATTATTCATATTCAACTTCAAAATATTGAAAAACTGCCCTCTATCTTTTGTCCCTAAGTATTTTGCCTAGGTTATTTTTTGGGTTTACCCCAAAGACAAGGCTTTGATTGCATTAGTTCAGTTAATGCTATTGCAACGTATTTGCATCCGGCAATTTTTCTTAGTTTCAACAAAAAAACAATCAGAATTCTACAATTGTACAAACAGAAAAATTGCAAGTCGTTTACGACACGAACCCAGTAACTGCTGCACGTCGACATGTCGTAACGATAGGGTACCGATAAATCGATAGATAAGTGTGAAACCACTCTCATTTACTTACAAGAGATTACGCGTTTTCGGTATCGTTGTCGTTTTCGTTGTTGTGTAGTTGTCGTATCGATAAATGTGATGACAACCTTAGGCAGGTTGTACCGAATCAGTGCAAAATAGGCGATGTTGATTTTGCTCACTTCCTCCGTACCTTCTACATCACTCTTTAAAAATAGTGTAGGTACTGTTCAGTGTGTTTTCTTTTAGAAAACTGTTACCGAAATGGAATTTCTATAAATCAATTTTAGTTGACTACAATATTAATATATAATATGATCCCATATGTACATCTCAAGCTCGAGGTCTTTATAAGATTCTATTGAATTAATTTTTTTCGTAACATAAACCCAAAAATGTACTGTAAGATGACAAATTGAGGAGTTAATATAAATTATATATACGAATATGAAAAAGTGGTTCATTGTGTAATCAATAATTGGTCAATTTATTATTTATGTGATTAAGTACATTTTTCTAACTGATTTTCCATAAAGAGCTTGAAATTTCTTTTTCCAATAAAACCGTATATCTTAAGAAAACTAGTTTTATAGTTTAACTCTTTTAAGCTTTATTATAATAGCAAAACACTGTTTTAATTAAAACATAAAAACCAAAATTCCACATAAAAATGTAAAACACGTTTCAACACTTTATCCTCAATTGGAGATTGTTTTGTATGAAATTTGAAAAAACTTTCGCTCAGCACCAGTTTTTGAGAAATTTGATACCCATAAGAGTTGTCAAAATCTTATCTACACATCTACTTATTATCTACATTAAACTGATGTACTTGTCTGTAATATCGAAATATCTGCCTTATGTTCATTTGTATGCTAAAAATTTTTTTGCTTGTCTGGCTGTCTATTCGGGCTTATCTTCGAAACGGCTGAATCGATTGGGTTGAGACTTTACAGACATGTAAAGAAAAGGTAGTTCGGAGTAGTCTAGACTAATTTTTTTTTATTTTAATTGTTTATTTCACGTGAACGAAGTCGCGGGTAATAGATATCTAGGTACCCAAAATTCCATATAAAAAACTCACAGACCTCGCATCTTGAGCATGTATCTGAGGTGTATTGAAAATACCAGACACAGCTGCTGGAGTTCTATAATTTGTCGAAACAAGTCATCTTTGCTGTTTGAATTAGTGGGTGAAAAGATACATCCGTAAAATAAAATAAAATTATGTACTCATGATGATTTTCTTTCTTCTTTCTCTTTTACTTGGAAATAACCAGATGTTACTGTTCAATGTTATAAAGATAAAACTGAATTATGAAGATTGGAAAAACTTTGGCGGTTGTTNTTGCATGTATAGTGTAAAATTTAAATTCATAGTGTACAAATAATACCATTAAACTAATTCCTTAACCCCTATCCCGGTATGTTTGTGTGTTTGAAGAAGTTTCACTTCAGTAGCGTATTGTATAATTACACGTTGTATTTTTTATAATGACCTTAATTCATTTTTGAGTCATAGGAATCGCCAAATTTGCAAAAAAAAAGTTTTTTATGAACTTTGATCTTGAATCAGCGACAGTGATTATGTGTTCCATTTTTAATATTTTTTTTGTAAACACTAAAATAAATCATGCAATCATGTTTTCAAATGCGACACTACGAAATTTTAATAATCATCATTAGTGTTTTTGTAATATTACAAACAAAATAAGCATATATCTCCAAACAAGATACGTAATCGAAATTGGTTCCTTATAAAGAAGTACGACATGATAACTGAAACATTGTGCGTCTCACCCTGATGAGACCATAACAGCATCAGTCTATAAGTATATAACTGTAGATAGCGAAAAATGCAAATCTGACATTGGCATTACGAATTTGTTACGTTTATATGACAGATTGAATATTAATCATACATAAAATAGATGACGAACGTTTAGGAAATACATAAAGACACTAATAAACAGAGTGTCCTTATCAATATTGCAGTATAACCAAAAAATATGTTGTTTAATGCTATCTCTCGTGTTCAACAACACTGCCTTCATAATTAGTTATTGGTGATAGAATGTAATCTTTTTAATTTTTCTTTGAAAGATTAATTGTAAAGAAAGAAATTTTAGTTGCAGATAAGAAAATATGCAGAGCGACGATGAAATGCTCAATGGACAAGCTCAACAACCCTTAAAAGCTGACGAATGTCGAATGTACGGGGTACGATGGTTCATTTTGGCCATATTTGTAGCTTACTCTGCAACAAATTCTGTGCAGTGGATTCAATTTTCAATCATAGCAGATGTTATAAGGGATTATTATTCCGTTTCTTACTCTGTAGTGGATTGGACTTCATTAGTATACATGGTGCTTTACATACCCTTCATTTTCCCAGCCAGTTATTTGCTCGATAAACTCGTAAGTATTTAGTAGATTGATGAAATTTGATTCGACTCGATAACGAACATATACATCACTGTAAAATTTATTTCTTATACGGAGATATAGTCCACATGGGATTCAGTATAGATAGAAAAAAGTGGTGAAAAACAAAAATTGGTGAATATGCGGAAATGTGTTTATTTCGCGTATTGAGCCTTACAAAAATTTTAAATCGGAAAAACAAAAGCTGTCACCTGACATAGCTCAAAAACGAAACAAATGCGTCATGCACGAATAAAATCGATTTTTAATTTACTGCAGGAATAATTCAGAAAGTGTAGTGTTTAGTACGCACAAGTGGTAGTTTTTTTTTATTAAAAAATATTTATAGGTACGTTTTCGATAAAATCACTGAGGTGCATTGGTGACTGCCAGTAGGCGAAAAATTATCGTATTTATAGTTGTATTGTTTTCGCATTTCGCACAGCATTTTATAACCACATAATTAAAAGTACGAAAAGGGTCATAAAATCAGTCAAAATTCCTCCAATGAATCGGTATCCATCACCACCACACAGACTATTCCCCTCCGCTAGCTCGTCCGACCGCCTGGAACTCCAGTTTTTTGGAGTCATTAGATTAATATCACCAGTATCACGACGGTTTCATTTATTTTTAAGAGTCAGTTAAAGTGCAATACAATTACAATAAAACTAAAAGCAATGTTTCTATAAAAATTGCAATTACTTTTAATTTAATCAATTCCAGTGATTCTTTTTCTGAACGTTCTTGATGATAGTAGATAGTTATTACAACATAGTTTTTGTTTTATTTAGTTCTAATATTTTGCACTACTTAAGTTGTCAAGATCATATACGTACGTATTAACCTTTCCGCCATTAATTGACCTTTTGCTTTGCTAAAATTTTAAAACAAAACAAGACAACTGATAGAAAATGACTTACATCATTATGATCATTACTTGTTTACGACAACACACTAACTCGCCAATAAAGGAGATAACTGTTTCTTTTGTGATAAGATTAAAAAAAGGTACGTGAACCACAACCATGGGACGTCTGGAATAAACTTTCCGATGTTGATAATTTCCATTAAACGGCATATATCAACGGACAGTATTCATTAATCATTATGAATTCATCAACTTACTTAATATTTCTGATAATTCGTTTATCGGATTTACTATAAAATTGGATTAATCTAATTAAACTTTATACAAGAAAAATATGTTACAAATAGAAAAAAATATATACTGGGTTTAAGATATTTGATGACATGCTCCTTAAGTTGGAGTTGACCCTATAAAAAGTAATGATAAACCTTATTCAGTCTCTATGTTATGTACTGTTTGTTAATATGAGTCAGTTAGTTGTTGGTTTGTGGAAATAATAAAATGACTCGACGAAAATGTTTAACAGTCATAGATAAAGAACAAGTAAGTAAAATTGTAGGTATCGTCAGCGTACACCCCGTAACGCGTAGGGCCAAAAGGGACTTATGACCGATGGGCGCAAAAGGAGGATATTTATTCACTTGAGATGGGAGCCTTACCAGGGAACCCATTAAGACATTGCTACGCCAGTGACCGCAGGAAAATATGTGTTAGCAGTAATTTTCTGATGCTGGAATTCCTTTATACAATGCCAAGGCTACTCTTCAAAATGAAAACAGAAAAGAGTGATCAGTGGAATATTATTACTGCCCCAGTATTTGCCCAAGTAATCCTAAGAAGCCATGCATAAACTTGAACCATGATAAACGTATCCGGTCCAATTGATGTACTCATAAACGCTAATGAGTGACCTAAGCATCAAGACCTAAGTTACACAATTTTATGCTGTAATATAGAGAAGACCAATGACTCCGGAAGACCTGTTGTTTGTGTTGATCAATTAACACATGAGCTGTGTCAGGTATAAGAAATTATGTATTGTTGTATTTCCCGATTTAAAGTTGTCAAAGCTGCAGTGCACTACGCTATCTCTAGATACTGATTGTAAACAGTACATTTCGAATGTCAATGTCAATGTCTAGTTTAAGGTATCTAGATCAGTTTATTGTAACAGAACGGAGAAGGTCGAAGAAGAAGAAGAGATAATAAAAGACAATGTCGAATTTTTACCAGAAAACAATTGAGCAGACAGTGTTGCACCGGAATTTTTAAAATTCTCGGTTCTTCCTGTACAAATGAATAGTTTTTTAACATTAATAAAACTTATTAAAAGTTGCATTCAATCAACGATGGGCCCGACATAAATCATGTCGTTGATGGAATTGATCATGAAAAATTGATGGACGAATTCGTTTCTCAAAATACGAAACTTTTAGACATTAAATTGTCAATTTCATACATTGAATTTTATTTGAAGTAACAAATTACATCCTCACCCCTTTTTCCCCTATTAAAATTCAACATATAGGCTGAATCCCATTCGCCGCACTTGAGTTTGCGGGTAATAAAGACATTAATTTCAGTAATTCCTTCAGACCAGTACTTACGTACGAGAAATATGAAATTTTCTTTAAAAACTTCTTCGTTAGTCGTGGATTACTGCGTGAGCTCGGAGAACTCGAATTGAAAGCCATAAGAGCAGTACTCGAAACAAGTACAGTCAAATGTTCTGTGTTGACAGCAAAATAAATGCAAAAACAAGAAAAGAGGGAGTTTTTTTACCACCAGTTTGATAAGAAATAAGAAATAGTCGTGGTACGCTGGAATAACAACACAGTTGTTTCAGTTACTTCCAAGCATGTTTCCATTGTATTACTAGGCATAAGAAAGGTTACTGTTGAAAATAAAAAGAAAACATCTAACCGTACCTCTTTTTTATTAATAAAAGAAAATGGGAATAGTTGATTTGTTGAGCAAATAAATTGCTGCATACACGATATGAATTCGGCCAAAAAAAAATTGTGGTAGCTGCTATTTACTTAAATTGTGGACATTGCTGGCGTTAATACTTAGCGATTGTACCATGCTGAGGAAATGTAGAGAAAAATGCGATCAAATCTCTCTAAAACAGCTCCCTCCTCGCGAAAGAGACCAGGACCTCAGAAATCCAACATTTTTGGAGATGGAAGAGTATCCCCGATAATAGTGGTCACCTACTTGCCCCCATTGCAATCCTAAGAAGATACTGTTCGTTTTAAGAAGTTAGAGATATGCCCCTTCCCTTTATTAGGATGCGCCGTAGCATAATTCCAAATTCAATCATATTTGTCTGCGAAGCTCATTTCTTCACCGAACATCGAGCAAGAGCTAGACTAAATTGTACAGTAGCATTTGCAAAATTATTTAAACTACCTCGTTAAAATTTAAGAATATGCTGTATTTTCTATTGTTAATTTATATACATTTTTGTTTTAAGAAAATGCTAAACATTTTCGTCTAGTACTGTACATTTCTAGCCGATCTCCTAAGACCGCCCATCGAGAGCTCTGCTCGTTCAAGCTTGTTCCAACTATTTCTGTCTTACTCACGCCTAGTGTGTATTCTGTCTATCTTCGCGCAGATTTCTTCAAGGTCACAATTCAAACAAATTTAAATATGCTGTACACATGTATACAATACTAAACAATGATTATTAAATATAGATATCAAACTGAAACTATTAGGAAATATTACATCATTTTGTCGGGGGTTAAACCACGGGGGGTGTCAAGTGTACACCTTTAATGTTCTCTACAATAGCACAAGATTATTAGAAATATCATCGGAAAATATCAAGGATATCAAGAAAACATTGAGTGTATGTCCCAATCATGCTCAGTGAGTGAGAAGGATATCCTTCTAAAAGGAGATATTTTGTATAAAATATACTATCTTGCAAATGGTTTACCACGAGAAGTAAAAGCCATTGGTGAAGTTGATTGGGATTGTCTAGGCTCTTGACAACAATGAAGGAAATAGAAGGATATACCTAATGAGATATCAAAAGTTCTATGAGAGTACCTATCAAGGGATACCAAAAGGATATCGACACAAATTACAAGGATATTACAGAACGTAAATACGAAAATAGTAGAAGAACTAGGAAAATGGGAAAAGAATTTCAAAAGAAAATTAGATCAGAACAATAGTAGGGGGAAATTTACGGATACTTTTTCAAAAAAGAATACTTTTGTTTCGCGACCTTCGCAGTTCACTTCTTCAGTTTTACTAATTACATACAATAATGATATTATGTCTTCTGTTCGTTAGACGTAAATTCAGTATTATTTTGTATGTTCATATTTTTTCATTCATCTTATTTCTACACAAGGGAATTCAAGATTACGAAAATCTAATTAACGTAACTGAAACTCCTTCGTTAGTACGGAATGTACTTGGCATCTTCGCGCCAATTAACGCACTCGTTTGCTTATAATTGCGTTGTCCAAATGTTTATTCGAAAAAGCAAACTTTCCTTTACTAGGTTTGCAATTGCTAATTTATAAAACAAGAATTTGAAATGTGCTATTTTTAACAAACCTATCCAACTATTTATCATAAAATAAGCATTAGTGGTGGAATAATATTCAGCATATACGTACTTCATTGAACAAAGTATAAGCAGGGGCGACCGTAGGGTTCAATCTTCAGCTTTAGCTGTTTTGGTAACTAAAGATATGTCGTTTTTACAGATAAATACAAAGCTGCGCTTTTCGCACAATTTTATTAAAAAAAAATGCTCTTGCTTAAATAACAAGGGGATTATTATAAACTTATTTTCGTGTACATGTATAGGGTTAAGCTTGTATTAAAATTCTTGGGGTTAATTTTGTTAGGGATTTTCAGCCTTAAAAGACGGCGTCCGTAAAATTAATTTACAACTAATAATATGATGATAATGGATATGTAATATTTCAACTCCTTGTAATAAATATCCAAATGTGAACACTAGCCATTTTTAAACATGTCTTTTTGTTTATCGCATTCTTGCGTTGAGCACCACTCATGTAGAAGCAAGCATAGTTTCAGTGAAAGACGTTAATTTTTATAATCATATTTTTGTCAGATGATATGGATAAAGTAGATTGCTTCGTTAATTAAGAAATGTCAAATTTTTATCAAGAAAATGACGATACTTGTAGATAAATAATTAAAACAAGTACTTTAAATACAATTAGGCATGTATTACAGCACTATAAAAAAATGATACACATAATTGAATTTCAAGTTTACTAAGTATTGAGTAATCTGCGATTTCATTTAATGATTAAGAAAAGAAACCAATTATTAAATGGTGCGTTAATCAAAGCCTACTTATTGTGGTTCGAGGAGTCTTACACATAGGAAATAATAAGTACAGCTGTATTTGTTATTTGTTGAGAAAACCTTATTTCGCCTTTCGTGATTTTTAAACATTTTATAAAATAATCGTATAAAGATAGATAAGATGTTTCAAGAAAATTGCAAATTTATTACACATCGCGGTTGTTTTACATCGCGCAATAAGGTACATGTATACTTCGTTTACTTTCTGTAGTGATGTGACCTTCAGTTTGACCGGCGCAAAGTAGAAAAGAACAGCACTAGGTCAGAAAAGAAAGGAGACAACTCTCGGCCAAACTCTTAACCGGTGAAGGGCGTATAATACGTACAGTATTGCACGGAAAAATTGACCATTTTATCCACTAAAATTGCATTGCTCAAATGTGCGGTTATTGGTACCAATTACTACTGAAAATATCAATGAGATGTTTATTTATATTTGAATACATATTAGGGCTTTAACGCTTGTTTTCGACTTGCACTACTATTCATGATTGAACAAAACTTTTGGCAAGTGCTGTATGAAAAAGTATGTTTAATGAACAAGAGTCGAGAGTATAATGATTACGATTTTGCCAGCGCGCATCCAAGACCGTGGAAGGGGCACATCGCTAGAGAAAGTAAACGAAGTATATCTTTTATTTCTTGTTTGCACTTGGTCATTTGCTGCGTTTTGAACACGCCCTAGTTAAGTCAAGAAATGTTTCATGAATAATGCCGAAAAAGTGAAAAGATATAACCGAATAATAGTAGGCGGTGCAGCGGTCAGAGGTTGCAGAGGTAAGCAAAAGATCAGGGTCGGCTTTATAACTGCCTGATTGGATACCGAGCGGTATGGTCTAGAGGGCTAGACCATTGCTTGGCTTTCGGGAGGACGCCGGTTTCGATTCGTCCGGGTCCGTCTGCCTTGGTCCAAGTTTTTCTGTGGTTTACTTGGATCACTTGGGGAAATGCTGAGGCAGTAATATTCAGATAATCTTTCACTCTCTTCTGTCTTCATTTCGTCCGTCTCATCTTTCTCACCCGAACCACCACCCACCCATTCCCACGATTCCTGAAAGGAGGTTGACGAGGGCCTTCCGCTCTACCTTCCAGCATAGTCGGAGGGACTGTGCGCCCACCAGCATTAGTGGCTGGTGGGAATGAAACACCCAAAAGTTTTTTTTTGCCTGATTGGAACTATATCTTTAAATGAGCGTCTTTGCTAAACTAAATTCCTGAGTATGTTGAACTATCTTTAAAGTCCGATGCTGGCAATATGCTCAAATTCTGCTTGTCTGCATCTTTTTCTGTTACACATTAACTGGTGTAATGTAATTCCTATTTCTTTATTAGCGTTCGCTGCAATTCCTACCTGACATCTCTCTTCTATGTTTACGATATTCTCTACAATCTCTGTCGTAAGTAAAAATAGGCGTTCTGTCAGAAATCGCTCTAGGCTAGTTAGCAAGTTGAAAGAGGGAAGTAAATAAGACAGTTTGACGGCGGTCTATATCAATTTTGAACCTACCTATACAGCCTACAAATTTCAATAGGTTGTACATAATTTTTATAATTGTTAAAAAAATTATTAATAATTATAAGTAAAGATTATTTTTAACGTTTACAACTTTTTAATTAAAAAGTAATTTTAGTGAATTACGTGTCATCTTATTATTTTATTTTTAAGACGTATATTTTGTCTCTACAAAATTTTTCTCTGCATTCTATAGAACTAAAATAATTTGATTTTTTTGGGCTTAATTGTAGATAAAAAATCATAACGCATCACTTTTTTCGATATTCACAAGATGAGAGGTCTTTTCTATTATCTTTACAACAGTAAAATCGCGGGTATTATATGAATTACTTATTTTGTTTTTTAGGCCCCCTTTCGCCTCTGTTTCCTGGTCTAATAGATATAATAAATGAGCGATTTCAATGTCGAATAAGCTATTGGATTTTAATCATATTTATTTCACATCAAATGATACCGAATCGATTTAAAAACAATGTTTTCTTTGATATGTAATTGATAATAATTAATTGAATTTAAACGATGGGATGCTAACGTTCAATAGTTGCTATAATCGTCGTGGCCATCTGGCATTCCACTTAAAAATATGAGCGGTGTCAATTGGTAAACTATTGTTTTGGTTATTTTCTTATTATCAAGTGTTTTGTTGATGTAATGATTTTTAATGAGCTGACTGGGTTTAAGAGCTTCTTCACCTTGATGTTTATATCAGTGATTCACTTCTTTGGTTCAATTGTCCAAATTTTTCACTTGTCATCGGACGAGAATTTGAGTAAGTGAGTCGACTTCTCCCTTCAATTTTGAGTTTGTTCCTTGGCTGCCCATTGTTTATATTCAATTAATTAATATCAATTACGCATCAAATGTTTTGATCGATTCAGTATTATTTATCGTTATGTTTGATTAGAAATCAATGAGTTATATAACTTTGAAATCGGTCATTTATTGTTCAAATAAATGAAGAAGGAGACGTGCGCCCAAAATTATTACAATGAACTGTCTTGATCGGACCCGTGTTTGTCCACTTTTGGAAGACTGCTCACATAAGAGGTGAGCGAAACATGTGTTGGCTCTGAATTAGGCAAATACCATGGTCTCATATTCTCTAAGGTTTTTGTTTGTGTCCATAACAGCCTTCCAGTTATTATA